TCCCACCCCACTTCCCTTTGCCCCATCCCTGACCCACTTCCCGATCCCCGCCGCACATCGATACTACAGCGGGATGTCCTGGTTGACGAAGGCTTTCACCTGCGGGCAGAGCGGCGCGGTTCGGGGCAGACCCGGCTCGGTTCCCCCGTCCCCGTCCGACACTCACCTCCGGCAGCCGGCTCAGCCGTCACCCGCCGCACGTCTGCGTGCAGACACAGCACAGCCGCTCACGCACAGCCGCTCACAGCCCGCGCTGCCCCCAGCCCTGCACCCACCTCCACTTTGCCCCTCGCCAAGCCCCGGGGCGGCCGCCGCTCGATCCTCGCCGCCGCCGCCAGCAGCAGCAGCAGCACGGCCAGCACCGCCCGCCGCATCCCGCCACGTCGCGACCAACCCCGCTCTGCGCATGCGCGGCGCTGCGCGGGCACGCACCCGCGCGCGCGCACGGCCGGCGGTGGCGCGCTCGCGGCCGCGCGCAGGTGCAGGTGCTCCCGGCCCCGCCCCTCCGCCGTGACGTAGGGAGGGGGGGGGGCGCCGCGCGCCTGGAGGGCGCCGCGCAGGTGGCGGTGGCGGGGGGCGCACGGTGAGAGCGGGGCCGCGCCGGGGGGATGGAGCGGGGCCGGCGGGGCAGCGCGGAGCAGGGCCCGGCCGTCCTGGGCTCGCGGCCCGTCTCCCCGCGCAGCCCCTCGCCCGCCGTCGCCCCCCCCGCGCTGCTCGTCCCTTTCGGCCCCGAGGGCCCGGCCCCGCCGCCCGCCGCGCGGAGGAGCTCCCGACCCGACGCCGCCTTCGAGCCGTTCTCTCCGCGCCCGTCGCCCGATGGAGCGCAGCCCGGCTGCGGGCGGACCGACGAGCGGGCGCCGGGCCGGGCCGCGCAGCCCCTGGCGCTGGACGTGGGCAGGGCCCAGCCCGAGCCGCTCCCGGTGCCCGCGCTGCTGCCCCTCGGACCGGGCGTCCCATCGGGCCGCGCCTCGGCGCTGGGCGCGGAGCTCGGCCCGGCGGAGCACGGCGTCCCCGGGAAGCCGCTGCCCAAAGCCGAGTCCAGCGATCACATCTCGGCCTGGGCGGCCCCCCGCGCTGTGGGGCTGCCCAAAGCCGTGTCCAGTGAGTTCCTTTCCGCCGGACGCATCGGGCTGGGCAAGGCGGTGGCTCTCGCCAAGCCGGAGCCCGACGAGCTGCCCCTGTTCGGGAGGTGCGGGGCGTCCCTCAGCCCTACGAGCTCCGGCGGATCCTCTGATGCTCTCCTGGGCTGCGCGGGGACGGCCGTGGAGGACGGGGCGTTCCGGTGAGCTCACGGTGGGGGTCGGGACCCCTTCTGCATCGATGGGGGGAGGGCGCGGGGTCTGAGCCTGCGGGGAGCAGTGGCTGAGTCCTCTGTGTGGGCTGGGGTTGCCCTTCTCATCCCCCTGCGATGGCCTTGGCGTGGGAGAGGTTTGGGGCTGAGGGACCCTCGGGACGCGGCGCGGTGCTTTGGGGGATGGATGTAGGTGGAATTAGAGGTGACAGCAGCTCGCTGAGCTCTCAAAATGGTGTGGCCCTTCCCTGGCACGCTGCTGAAATTGGCTCCTGTGAGTTGCCGGCGGAGCAGCCTGCGGGCTGCTGGCGCCCGCTGCGTAGCGGCGTTAATGTGCTGTGACGGGTGGTGGTGGCTGTGTGCTCTGAAGGACACTGCTGTCACGCGATGCACTGCCCAGCTGCAGGCAGGACGCGGCGGGGGGAGGCCCGAGTCCCTGTGTGTGGGATCAGAGGGATGAGCTCCGCGTGGGGAAGCGGTTATTTGGGGTTGTCCTCCTTTGGCTGAGCTGCTACGGCAAGTTCTGCCCCAGGCAGGCTCCTTGGGAGGCCGGGTTGGAGGACAGGGAGCCCTTCTGAGCCCGAGTGTTACCTTGTTCTCCTTTATTCCTCTGAAGCATCACAGTGGTCACCTGGAACGTGGGCACAGCCATGCCCCCCAGTGATGTGACGTCGCTGTTGCATCTCAACACAGGCGAGACGAATGATGCAGACATGATCGCCATTGGGTAAGAGAGTGAGGTGCAGGGCCCCTGCCCTGGGGAGGGCCCTGTTTGAGGGATTTTCCATGTAGTCCTGGAGGGCTCAGAGTGGGAGAGTGCCTCTCCAGCCCACCCTCAGGCATAAGGAGCAGGGAGGGACGCCTATCATGAATGAACGGTGTCATAAAAGGTGATGGAAAATCAGCTTCTTTTAAAAATGGGATCACTAAGAGGAGCTGAAACCCTCAGGTCGCAAATAGCTGTGAATCAACCCCTGCACAGCCCATAGCTGGCTTGCCAAGCAGAGTGTGGCCTCAGGAGGTGCCTGGGTCAAATCTGGAGAGGCTTTTAACTCGCCTGCTGGATTCTGCTGGAAGCATTTTCCTCATCTCACCTCTTGTCCGTAGTATGTGAGCCTCAAGGGCACAGATCTGCTGTTCTCTCACAGCTGGATTGGCTCCGTGCCTCTGGCAACACTTAACTGCTGGCAAGGCAGCCCCAAGTTGGTGTGATGAGGCTTTCTTGGCGTGGCCAGCCGGGCGAGCTGAGCCAGAATTTAAGGGAAAACCAGACCCTTAGGGATTGCCATGGAGCATGCAGATCTGTGCCAAGAGCACGGATGTGCTGCCTGTTGTACAGCTTCTGCTCTGGGAGCTCCCTGTGTGCACAGTGGAGGAGCTCTGCCTCTGGCAGGAGGCTGCTGGAGCCCCTCTCCTGGTTGGGGCCCCTAAGCCTTATAGGCAGATCCTACCTGCATGGATCAGGGCAGGGGTGTTGCTTGGTGTGAGGGACTGGCTGGGGCTGTGCTGTGGCCAGGGCACGGTGTCCTGTGCTGGTGAGCTGCCCCAGCCTCCACAGTGCCTCTGCCTGCCCGTGTCCTTCCTCTGACCCGTATCTTTGTGCCTGGGGCACTCAGTATTTTCGGGCAAGGCATTTCCTGATTCTGCTGTTCTCTGGGGATGCTCTCCTTCCCTCTGTTCTCTAATTGCTGAGTGGGGAGGAGCACTGTTAACCTTCTGTCGCTGCTGCTGTGAGCTCGGTGGCTAGGATGCATCCGGACGCCCTGTGCTGAAGTACTGGTGGGACCTGGCTTCTCTGCAGACATCCATACAACTGACATGTCCTGTAAGCCCCTCTTGCACCTAGAGATAGACTTTAGACTGCTGCCCAGCCTTGTGCAGCTGAACTGCTCCTGCTTAGAGGGCCGAAGCATTGCAGCTTCATTGCCACTTGTGCCTCTTGCTACCCAGCATCGCTAGCACGAGGATGTAGCTGGTTTGTGCTCTAAATCCAGAGTCCTCCCTTGGAATGCCCTTGCAGCTCTGTCCTTGGGTGCCTCGCCCAAGGAGCTCTCCCTGGCTGGGATGCAGGTGCCTTCCTGTTGTGGCTGAGGGATCCATCTGGGATCAGACAGGCTCTGCAAAGCACTTTGTCCTTCTCCTCCCAGGCTGCAGGAAGTGAACTCCAAGATAAACAAACGCCTGAAGGACGCCCTGTTCACAGATCAGTGGAGCGAGCTCTTCATGGATGTCCTGAGCCCCTTCCACTTTGTGTTGGTAAGGCAGTCCCAAAGGGGCTGGACAGCTGGTGTCCCCTCTGTGCCTGCCAGCCAAGCAGGGGGGCATGGGGAGAGTGGCAGGGTAGAGAGGGATGGAGGGTGTGCAGGAGAAGACCTGGCTAGAGTGATGCCCTGCAGCCCTCTGAGCATTGTGTGGAAGCTGAGCTGAAGGTGAATAGGGCATTTTAGCAGTATGCTGCCTGGCTTCTGCCACTCTACTTGCTTCTCTGGTTGCTTTTGGCTTCCCCTGTGGTACTCTGGGGACACACCTTGTTGCCCACTGTGTTGCACCAGGGTGAGGAGAGGATCCAGCCTGTGTTTCTGACAGCAGCCTGCAGATCCCAGGGCAAGGCTCAGCTCCCCAGACAGCTAGTGACAGAGTACATAAGTCCTAGCATTGCTGGGCTCATCTCGGTCAGTTGTTGGAATCCAGGCAAGTATGCCTGGATCTCTGAGCTAAATGTGCTGCTTTAGCCATCTGTAAGACGGGCATGCAGAAAAGGTGCTGTTCTAGCCTGGAACTGTCCTTGCCCTTATGGGTTGTGCTGTGGCTGCCATCCTGCTACAAGCCCTGCTCCTGTTCCAGGTCAGCACAGTGCGGATGCAAGGTGTGATCCTGCTGGTGTTTGCCAAGTACTACCACCTCCCCTTCCTGCAGGACATCCAGACAGACTGCACTAGGACAGGGCTGGGCGGCTACTGGGTGAGTGTGGTCCTGGGGGGGG